AAACTAGGAAAGCTTAAGCTACCAACTCCTTTCTTTCAGTTACTCTCAAAGGTGCCACAAGATTCTTTTGCATACTGATATTCCAGACAAAAATGTCTCTGAATTATTTTTTCTCATCTTGTCTGTCCTTTCAAAATCTGTAAATATTGTGGACATTTCCTCTCATCTTCTGAACATGTATATGCAGTTCTGAATACGTTACATAGTTATGCAAGCTGTTTTCCTTAATATAATGCACTTGTATATATCAGAGTCATAAATAAATGCATTTTCTGACATTTATTTCAATTGGAAAATTGCATCACAAAAAGGCAGAGAAGTGCAAATAGAGAAAACCTCCCCGTGCTTTGGTTCTCCTAGGAGTTTTCCTAATAGTTTTCAGTCTGACATCTGAAAATGCAGTCAGCCCTCTCTATTTATGGTTTTGATTTTTGCAGATTTGATTATTTTCTCTAGGAACCTCTGTTAAAACTTTTTTAAGAGAGGGCCAGGTCTCAGTCCTTCAAACTGTTGGAGGGCCAGATTATAATTTGAAAAAGAATCAATGAATTCCTATGAACACTGAACATATCTTATTTGTAGTACAAAAAACACTTTAAAACAATACAATAATTAAAATGAAGAACAATTTTAACAAATATAAACTTAGTATTTCAATGGGAAGTGTGGGCCTGCACCGAGATTGTGGCGCAGCTGGCTGAGTGTCAGCTGCGTTAAGAGCACTCTGACCAAAAGGTCATGAGTTCGAAGCCAGCCCGGGTTGGAGTGGGTTTCCAACCAATTGTGTGTAGCCTGTTGTCAACCTTTGCAACCCGAAAGACAGTTGCATCTGTCAAGTAGGAAAATTAGGTACCACCTTAAAGTGCGGGGAGGCTAAATTAACTGATTTATGAGGCCATAAAGAAGACTCCAGCAAAGCATTCCAGCGAGGAAGCATGCGAGGAATGCGGAAGTGCTTCATCAGCGTCGCAGATGGACGATGAAAGCGACAGCTTCCCTGGCGGCCAGAAAAAGTTAAATAGCCTCTGTGTATGTCTGTATATGTTTGTATGTCAAAATTGGCATTGAATGTTTGCCACAAATATGTACACTGTAAACCGCACTGAGTCCCCTGCGGGGTGAGAAGGGCGGAATATAAAAGCTGTAAATAAATAAATAAATAAATGCTTTTGGCTGATGAGATGAGATTGTTGTTGTTGTTGTTCTGTGCTTTCAAGTAGTTTCAGACTTAGGTTGACCCTGAGAGAGAGCCGGGTAAATGAAGAACAATTTTAACAAATATAAACTTATTAGCATTTTAATGGGAAGTGTGGGCCTGCTTTTGGCTGATGAGATGAGATTGTTGTTGTTATTGTTGTTGTTGTTGTTGTTTGTGCTTTCAAGTCATTTCAGACTTAGGTTGACCCTGAGCAAGGGCCAGGTAAATGGCCTTGGAGGGCCATATCTAGCCCCCGGGTCTTAGTTTGAGGACCTCTGCTCTAGATCTTCCAGTACAACTCAAAGATCAACTTCTGCCAGATACTGAACAGAGTCATATTGGAAGACATAGAGAGTTTTAGAGATAACACCTCTTTAGGAATCTTTAGGTCTTTCAATGCAATTCCATGGTCAGCTTCCAATGAAAGTTGACCACAGAGTCATGTTAGAATATCTAGAAATCCCCAGAGAGCTCTCTAGTAAAAAAAAAATGACAGTATTATTGCTGACTTTCCACTATCACAGGGGTCCCAATTGAATGTGGGGGGCTAGCTATGCAAAACATCACTTCTCTGTGTTTCTCTTTAGATAATCATATAAAGAGAAGAGGGGAGGCTCTTCTCTTACTCCCACCCCCGTCTCAGGTGCAGTTGGTGGGGACGAGAGAAACAGCCTTCTCAGTGGTGGCCCCTTGGCTCTGGAACTCCCTCCCTAGGGAGATTAGGCTAGCACCCTCCTTATCCATGCTTTGTAAGGAATTAAAGACGTGGATGTTCCATTGTGGATTTGATTAAATAATTCCCTTGACTGTTGGCTCTAATCTATGGCCTAAAAATACTATGTCCCTGCACTTTGCTACTGCACTTTTAAAGTCATAATGTCCCTGTTATAATTTGCTCTTATCCTAAATGTTTTAGAAATAGTTTTCTAAGATCTACAGAGACACTTGCTGGAAAACCTCAGCAAGCGGGAGTCCAAAAGTGGCAGGCTCAAACCCAGAACCTCAATCAATGGCTGATACCAAATGAGAGACTCCCCCCTGGGAATACAGAAAACTGGGCAACTTGGAAGGCATTGAACAGACTGCGCTCTGGCACCACGAGTTGCAGAGCCAACCTTAAGAAATGGGGCTACAAAGTGGAATCCATGACATGCGAGTGTGGAGAAGAGCAAATCACAGGCTACCCACTGCAATGCACCCTGAGCCCTGCCGCATGTACAATGGAGGACCTCCTTGAGGCAACACCAGAGGCACTCCAAGTGGCCAGATACTGGTCAAAGGACATTTAATAGAATATCAAGCCTGCAAATTTTGTGTTTTGTTTATTTGTCTGTTTTTTAATGCAATACAACTGTTTTGGTTCACTCCTGACATGATAAATAAATCCTTATGTTGCTATATGATCTATGCACCTTACTGATTAGCCTTTTTTCTAACCTGTTTACACTCCAGCCGCCTCCCACAATGAGACTTGAAGTATGTTCTTGGTTGTTGCTTATGATGGCTGCTTTATTACTATTATAATGTTGTTTTATTTTGTTTTATATTATTGTTATATTTTATATACTATGTCTTTAACTCTGTCTTACTGGGCTTGGCCCCATGTAAGCCACCCCGAGTCCCTTCGAGTCCCTTCGGGGAGATGGAGGCGGGGTATAAAAATAAAGTTATCATTATTATTATTACATATTATATTGGAGAATGTGTGAGTTCGTGCGCTAACCATTGGCCATGCAGACTATCCGCACTCCATGAGCTACTGCATTCCATTTGTAATAAGTGGAATTTAAAGTCAGATGGAAAGACTGCAGGATCAGACCCAGGTCTAGACACTGAGGAAATGTTGCACATTTTAGACAGCCTCTAGGCCACAGACATTTAAACAGAGCCAGGAGACCCAAGGGACTACCTCTTTAATTCATGCTTTTAATGGTGCTCACTGAAGCTGTTAATTATTTCTTACTAGCTGCTAATTGTTTTTCTTGGACACTCAGTTCTGTAGTCTTGCAATCCACCAACTGCAGTAGAATCTACCTAATTTGTGAAAGAAACGAGAAACACTATCTTTCCTTTTGGGGATGAGTATTACCGCAACAGAGTCTAAGACAAAACTGGGGAATCTGTGATCCTCTAGATTGGCACTCATCACTAGGAAACTGCAGCCCGACAACAACTGGGAGGGCCAAAACAATGAACAATCCCTGAAAGAGGACAATAAGCTGCAGAAGTACAGCAGACCCATTTATTACTGGGTTTTTTTGAAAGAGGAAATTCATGGAACATGCAAGGTTCGCACCCTTGTATGACAAAACACACACACATGCAGTGGACCCCTGGTATCTCCTGAGGTCGCAGGACCTAATGTGGATACGAAATCCATTGATGTTCAAGTGAAGTAAAATGGAGCCCCTTATATAAAATAGCAAAATCAGGCTTTGCTTTTTGGAATTTTGTTTTGACCATTTCAAAGCTATGGATGGTGAATGCGGAACCCATGGCTACAGAGCGCCAACTGTACAAGTAAGGAACATCATTTGTATCTAGTCAGTCTACCAGAGTCTGATGGTTGCATATGAGAACTACATGATGATGCAGAATTGTAATACAGCTCTTTGCTCATCACCATGGTTCAACTACACTTTTGAGGAAAGTAACAGCAGGAGTGGTCACCCATGTTGCCCTTCAAATACATAATCATTACCTCACACTCCTGGGAATTGTAATGCCGGAGTCACAGGAATCAATTAAAACCAATGCTATTAAATATGCTAAGGCCAGTGGGTTTTCAAAGCCATTGCTTGCAATAATCAAATCAGCAATCTCAGTTCTCCATCCACATGGGATTTATGATCACAACATGCCTTGAAATTAGCAAAATTGGTGTGCCCTGCTGCAGAGGTCCTGCTGCAAAGAAAGACCACAGTTTAATAGTAAAACACACCACTAACATGCAGAAGGTCCAAGGTTCAATCCCTTGATTACAGAGTTAAAAGAGCAAGGCTTCGGCCAGCCAACCCTACAGATTAAGAGCATGAGGAAAGTAATGCTGGATCACTCTAAAGGCCTATTTAGTCCAGAGTTCTGTCTCCACAGTGGACAACTACGTGGTTTGGGCATGACGGCAATATCACTCTCTTGTTCAGAATGGTCAAATCTACCTTGCAACGGTTCTCCAGGGTCTTTTCCATCATGTGCTAGAACAGTGTTTCTCAACCTGTGGGTCCCCAGGTGTTTTGGCCTACAACTCCCAGAAATCCTGGCCAGTTTACCAGCTATTAGGATTTATGGGAGTTGAAGGCCAAAACATTGGGTACCCACAGGTTGAGAACCACTGTGCTAGAAGATCTATCTCTTTACTGGAGATGCTGAAGATTTGACCTGGGACCTGCTGTATATAAACAAGGGTTCTACTACACAGCTCTAGTACCTTCCTTCTTCTGGTCTCCTAGCCATAGAGTTAATCATTGGTTGCAGCAATGCACCACTAGAAGAAACATGGGGAATGCGTGTTCATTAAAATAGTTAAGATATAATAAAGTCATAGTAGACTGTCTTGTTATTAACTATGTCCCAAATATGATCTACTATAATTGTGTTATAAAAAACATTGCAGAATGATATAAGCAATTTCCATTCCCAAGTTTCTACCTTCCACTTAGCCAACTATTTCCATCCACAGAGTCAGTTTTTAAAGACAGATTATACTCTCCACACTCTAAGATTAGACATACCACAAGTCCCAAAACCAGAAGAAGAATATAATTTTTTCCCAAGTTGAAGGAAGAAGAAAAAAAAGTCTTACTTGCAGTCATGTTTCTCAATTTCAAAGTGAGGGTTGAAGTTGAGGATAATTTTCTGATTTGGTTCCGGGGCATAAATGATCCATTCACAGTTCTGGTGGGAAGGGTAGTCATGCGGGTAGCCAGGTGAAGTGATGTAGCCAGCGTCTTTGGAATTCAAACGCCCCCCACACGACTGAGCTGCCAACACAGAGAACAAAAACAAAAGCTGAAATAAAAATAGCAGTCAACCTTGGTTATAAACTTCAAACACATCAGTGTATTCCTCTGGATTTGTACCATTGCAAGACTGGGTCTGGTGGTTGGTGGTTTTTTAATGTATTGTTGGCTCTTTTTAACAGTCTTGTTAAGTGTCCAAGTACAAGGCAAATCTCTGGACACTGGAGAATGAAGATGATTACTCTGCACAACAATCCTCCCCACAGAAATACACATTCCACATCTTAGACAGACCAGAAAAAAGGAACAGCTATAAATGGGCCCACCTACGCACTTTCAGATGTTGTTGTGTTTATTTTTCTCCCTTCCTTCAAACAGTCAACATAGGCATCACATGATTTGGAAATAAATGGGAATGTCTTTTTTTCCTCCTCTGTTTCAGAAGGCGTTCTATGGCTTCCTTCCATAGTTACCCTAACAGTACCTCACAGATATCAATGTTGTTTTTGCAAAACGTGAGACAGAGCCTCTGCTTTATATGAAAGGCTTTTGAAACAAAACCAGGCACAGCAGAAGTCTCAGGTCCTAGCAAAAACAAATCTCATGAAACCCCTGCCTTTTCCACATTTCTCCCATCTGTATATCTTATGATCATCTTCTCCCACAATCCCCATAACTGTTCTCTCTCTTCACTGCATCATGCAACTTTGTAAGTTTGAGTAAAGTTCTTCTGCTAGCCATCTCCATGCTTGTATGTTTGAAAGTCATTTTGTTAAGGAAGAAGCCTCTCCATGACTGCTGGCTGACCACATTCCAAACTTTCAAAACCCTGCAGGCGCACCATTTCAGCAAATAGTGGGGAGAAGAGGGAGTCTTGCTTTGACAAGGTCCAAAAGCCTGTTTCAAAACAGTCTAGGGAAGGTGCAGGGTGGCAGTGAATCCTCCCCCCCCCCCCCCCCCCCCCCAAATATCATCACACAGACACAAGAGCATTTTATTTACTTGATGACTAGTAAGTAAGGAAACTTTATTACGGTCAATGACCAGATCATAACAGGGGAACCTAGTCCCGCACATCCACATCAAACCCAAGGGATTATACACTTCAAACGTCTACAAATTTTAAAATCTAAGCTAAAAACCACACACAAGTAGTTATTAAAACCTAACTCAACTCACGAGATCATCCAAAGGCAGTCTAAAGAGAGGAAGTGGGGATGGCACCAGGGAAGGGGGAATATCCAACACTATATATATCAGTCTATATCTGATTTCCCATTTATATTCCAGAGGTGAACCTTAGGTCTTTCAACTTGATGACTATCTCTCATGGAGCTCATGTTGGCATCCAAAGCTCCTGAGGTTTAGGCATGCTTACTGAGGCAAGGTCACATCATGAACTTCCTGGTTGAGTATGGATTCAAAACTGTATCTTCACATGCCTACTACACCACACTGGAAAACAAACTGGGCATCTTAGCAAATATTTTACCCTTGGTATCCACAAGGATTTGATTCCTGGACTACCACCCCCTGTTATATATAAAAATCCATGGATGCTAAAGACCCATTATATACAATGGTGTAGTAAAATTATATCCCATATAACATGGCAAGATCAAAGTTTACTTTCTGGAATTTATCACGGGGTGGGGGGAATATTTTGGTGGATACAGAATCTGTGGGTATGGTGTGTTGGCTATAATTCTTTCTCCAAGAGTGCCCCAGTTCTATCCAGAATTATAAATACAAATGTGGTCCTCCTTAATCACATATTAACTGAAAGAAACTGCTTGACAAAACCTTGTCCCTGCCACACTGAAAGAATTGGGAAGCAACTCAACAAGTTGCTAAGCTCCCTAACTGGCATCCTGGACCAAAATCCACTTCTGTCCAACACCAGGGTTTGGTCTGCAAGGAAACATTGTACGTGTTTCATGCAGGCCACACATGAAGTGCTTGGCAGAACCTGGAATGGTTTCCAGAACACATCTCAGCAACTCTTGTTTAATTTCCATCTCACACCACTGTGCTTCCACACACTCCTCTGCCTCCTTTCCAAATCTCCCTCCCTCTTGGCTTTCCCCTTCATCTCCTCCCTGTCTCTTCCAACATTACCCGCCAAGCTAAGCAGTTGGAATTAAAGACCGCAATAATCAACAGTGGTGGTTTTTGTGGCGCGGGCCCACAAACAGCCTGGTAACAATTATATCTGAAGCAAGGAAAGCACTTTCAGCCCTTGGTTACACAACAGACCCAGGAGAGTGATTTCATCTTCAAGAAAACATTTCATTTTAAGAATGCCACAAATCTGATTTACTATTTCATTACTGGCTAAGGGGTGGGTGGGAATCTGTATCATTTCACACAATTGGTTACATACTAAGGAATCCCAGCTATACTCCCTGTCCTGCCCCACTCCTGTCTTCTCACAACATGTCTATCCCTATGGCACTGTCTTTGTTTTCACTGGGGCCACCAAAAGTGACCAATCCACTCAGCAGCAAGTTTGCAACCAGTAGAAGGTGCTGCCCTGTCGCGGCCTAATACTGGCTGTGCTTGTTTCTGCCATCAAAGACAATAAATGTTATAAGTTTGGATTGCAGCTCCCACAATCCCCAGGGATTCTGTGCTGCAGAAAAGGAACTTTCCACCCTGCCCCTATCTACCTCTCAAAAGTGACTAGGCATTGTTAGGTTCGAATTTCCCTCTGCCCCCTGTAAAAGGAAGACATGACTTAAGTGATTCTTTCTGAGTTCAAACAGACACACAATGAATTACTTTCCTATAATGAAATCTTTGGCCAAATACATATATGTTTCTGCTATGCATTAAATCCTAACTATATTTGGAATAAAATTCCTGAAAATCTAAGAGGTTTTGCCTGAGAAAACTTTTCATACTGAACCAATTTCTCTCTCTCTCTCTCACTCACTCACACACACACACACACTTGTGCAGATGCGGTTGTCCAAGCATCTTCTGACCATGAACATGCTCTCTTATCCCGCCTAGGAAACAGAAATCTGTGGATGTTTATCCAAACAGTAATATCATCTCTAGAGGCCTAAATATCCTAAAGGCAGATCTCATTTGATTTTGGAAACTAAGACCCCATATACACCTAATTTATAATCCACACTGAAATGGATTATAAATGGGGGGGGGGGGATGATTTATAATCCACACTTGGGGGAGGGGGTGGCCAAATTACACACACCTATTATTCAGGCAGAACTGCATTAAACAGAGAAAACACATATTCAAAGAAGTTCAGAGAAAGTCCGGATTTGGCTGGAAAATACATTGCAATGGAGCCTATTATATCCCAGACATGCCGAAAACATGAGACTTCACAAGATTTCCATGCACCATGCTGGTGTGGATGGCACCAGCACATAACCACACTTTAAAACCTGGGGCGTTCTTGTACTGCACATGAGCTGCAACACATCTGCGCACCTACATTGGGAAGAGGAGCAGAAAACTTCTGGCTGATGTCCCACCAATTGGATGGTTCCAGATTAATGTGAACACCCTGGGACAAGGAAGCTAGGTGGCGTCTCTCTGGAAGGTTACGGATTTTTAAAACTCTCTTTATACTCCAGATACGTCCCACCCCAGAGTCTGAGATCATCTGGGGAGGCTCTGCTCTCGACCCCACCACTATCACAAGTGAGGTTGGTGGGGACGAGGAGCAGGGCCTTCTCGGTAGTGGCCCCTCACCTGTGGAACTCACTCCCGGGAGAAATTAGGGCATCAACATCTCTCCTCTCTTTCAGGAGGAAAATAAAGACGTGGTTGTAGGACCAGGCCTTTGGGCAATCTGACAACTAGACAAGGACAATCAAACGACTAGGACTGAGAGGACTGACAATGTGGAATAGGAATTTGGACTATGAGATAGCGAACGCTGACCGTCTATGAGGAGTAATTGGGTTTGTATTGTTTTTATTGGTTTTAGGGTTGTAATGCAGGAATTGTTGTATAACTCTTCAACTGTTAACTGTTTAATTGATATTATTTTGTTTTACTACTGTTATGTGATGCTGGCATCGGAATTGTGCCTTTGTAAGCCGCCCTGAGTCCCCTTCGGGGTGAGAAGGGCGGGGTAGAAGAAACCTAAATAAATAAATTTATTAAAATTAAAGGCATATAAAGAAACACCCTAAGCAGGGACAGAACTAGTTAGTAATTGTATGAGAAACCATCTATGAATAGTGCCGGAGGCTGTATTTCAGAGGAAGGAATTGAGTATTCCTTGCCTTAAAAAGCCTTATGAAATCTATGAGGTCACCATAAATGGACAGGGGACCTGAACACCCTTATTATCTTTGGAAACGCTTATTGTATAGCTGTTTGCGACTAATGCAGCTATAGGAACTAAATCACAGAGGCAAACAGAGCAACCTCTCCCAATGCCTTTGCTGCTGTTCATCCTGGGAGGGGAAACCAAGGGTGGGTGAGGATTGAGGAATAAGAAGGCCCTTTGTCTCCATCGCAGCCTGTCAGGACTGAAGGTCATCTTGAGGCAGAGGGAAAATCCTCCGGGACCAAATACAGCCCAAGGGCTACCAACTGCCAACTTCTTATATGACTATGAGCCACACCCTCCCATCTTCTTTCTCAGGCAACTGTTTCAGTCCTGAGATGGCAGCAATATTCAAAAATTAAATAAAACAAGCAATACCACAAATGCCTAACTAGATCTTCCCCACACCCCACACATCCACATCCCTGCAGAAGGAATTCCAGTTTATCCAAACCTCTGATTACCCAAAATAGATAGGATGCTGACCTCAGGGACCTTCAAATGACATGAGAACACAGCCTAAATTGGAAAATATTGCTTTGGTCTTACAGACATATAAGCAAAGGCCAAAATTAGGAACTGGTCACACACTGGACTGCCAAATTACATGGTGACTGAAGTTTCTAAGTCTGGGATTTTTTTTAATGTAGGGTTTTGGCAGCCTGTAGCAAAAAGGAGGAAGGAGAAAGGATGAAGAAAACAAAGGCTC